TTCAAAACTGACAGCTGTCCAAAACCACCAATTCCTAATTAAACCCTGTATAAAACATTGCTCCTAAACAATTTTTCAAGGTAGTAGACCAGGAGGGGACCTGATCATCAATAATAGATTTGTTTTTAGTTGTTCTCAATTGAATTGTGACAATTTTTGTTCCACTGGAAAAAACTGCTCATGGAACCTTCCTTTACTTAGCTCCTGAGGCCAATGATAATGATTCACTAGCTGATATACAATCTATGAAAGGAACATGAATACTACAATCAATTACAAAAAGGAATCCTCACAGGAATCCAGATTTGTTTTGGTGGTAGTTAATTATAGATGGTCCCCTATTTGTTTGAGGGAGGGGGGGGCCCTTTACTAATCAGGATCCAACATTACAAGGACCCCTTTTCAATCACCCCCGTTGTAACTTAAAATATTCCATCATATTCCATCATATTCGAGCATCTAGGATAGGACCCATGGGGTGGGGTGGCCGTCGCCGGGTGTAACGTTAGACCGGAGTGACTCTTCGGGTGTCCCGAAGCTGGAACTCTTCCGGGGGCCGTGCTAAGCGGCCTTGGTTCCGTTGTGGGGCGGGTGAAGTTTGTGGGAATTGGGCCTGCGTCTTCTGAAAGAATAAACATCCATAAATATTCATATATTCTTAATGTATGGAAGCTTCTTCCAGGAGTTCATGACAATGAACATGATTGAACATGCACTGCTGCATATATAGCCAGTTGCCACAAACATGAAACTGTCTCAGACTCAAATTGTGAATGGACCCTCAAATTCACTTGCCGGTTCTGCACATGAAAAAGTCGCCGTGTTGAAACACGGATCTTCTCCGACGCTGCGGCGGATGCTGCGCTCAAAAGCCACCAATGCTCACAGTGGTTGCAGAGTAGATGGCACAAGTGGGGGCGAGTTTGGTGGCTTATATGGGCCGCGAACCATTTAAACATTCTCTTGGGGTGCCAGTGCCATGTCTCACCTCTGAACCCGCCGTACCCGTGTTCCCCCCCCGCAACTGCGACCATGCCAAGTCTCTGGAGAAAAACCAGCCCTGACATCCAAAGTCTCTGCGTTCGGGTGCCGATGCCCTGCCGTCGTCGGCACGCCGGGCGTCGTTCGAGACCCTTGGGCCCAGACACGAGCCGTCTGGGACGGCCGAGTTTCACGGCCAGGGGTGATGCCAGAGGGGTCTTTCTGGGGCGGCAGTCCTATGGCAGTCCCATTAGTCGTGTCTGGGATGGGGCAGGACCGTCGGACCGATGGCGAGCGTGGGCGGCTCCAAGGCACCAGCTCGCACAGGTCTCCGCTGGTAGCTTTTGGAGACTTAAAAGTGTCAGGTGGCAACCTGTTGGAGGGTGCTGGTATAGGGCAGTAATAAGGTCTTCTCAACATGTAACACTCAGGTCGCCTCAGAAAGGACCCAAGGCCGCACGCGGCTTTGGACCCTCACCAGTTCGAGGGCTTTGGGGACCGAACCAGCATCCATCACTTGGTTCGGGTGGTTCGGGTCGCCCAAGCGCCCAACGAAATTCCCACTCCAAACTCACAGGGCCGTCGCCGCGAGTACCCGCTGGGTCGCCAGGGAGACGGGGAGACGGGGATGACCGTGTCAAAGGGGGAGGACCATGGCAGGGTAGCGACCAGGCACGACCTACCTGGTGTTGGTCAAGTCAATCATAGGGTGGACCAGGGCTCCAGGTTGTCTCACCGCCTGCCAGAAGTACACTGCCTCTCAGGCCGGAAGCCTGAGATCGGAACAAAGACAAGGACCAAGCGACCCAAACAGGAGGCAATCAGAGATCACCACCGGAAGGGAAGCAAGAGGGAAATCATAAGTCCTTCAAGGGCCGGTGCCAACCGTTGAGCACATCTTTACATCCTGAATTAAAAAGAGAAGCCAAGCGTAAAAGCGCATCTTGATCAAGGTAAAGCTCATATCCAGGAAAAAATCCTGAAGGGAAATTGCGCCCATTCGACTTTCTTCCTTTCTCACTACCAGCAGGGAGAGCCTCAATCGATGAGCGTCCAGGCTTTCCCATCTCCATACCAGTACCCTCCAACAGGTGCTTCCTGGTGACAAGTCCGGTGCCCAAAAACCACCTGTTAGGGTCTCCAAACAGCCTGGTGGAGGGTCCTGGTATGGTTGATGATATCAATATTGATGAATGTTGGCCGCAGGGCATCCAATCGCTTCTGCCACAGCATCTTCACCCTCCCAACCCCCCCACATATCCCCCACATATCCGCCGCATCCCGCACGGATCTGGGATGGCCGCCGCCGAAGTCGCGGTGCGAACTCGCCGGGAAAACCCGGGTGCCTCGCCCGCCTTCACGGGGTAATGTAAGAATTCCATCCTGGCCGAGACAGTCGAAGCATCCACGTCTTCGGACCGGTTCGGGGGGACCGAGGTCCGGAAACGACCAGTTCCAAGGTGGTCCACCTGGTGAAGCACGAGGTCCATGTTTCGTACTGGCTGGCCGCATGACCGGTGGTCAAGTCCAAGTCCGCAAGACCGGGTTTTACCATATTGTGGTCCTCTTTTCCGGCACGGAAAGCCCTCGATCACCCCGAGGGAAGAACAAGGGTCGCCGAGGTTGTTCCACGCACCGCGACCGGTGTCTCGGGTGGTCCTTGAAACAAAGCCAGGCAGCCTGGAAGCCCTTGCGTCCTTGTGTCCTGCCTCTCTACCAGCGAGATGGAATTCCGAAAGGGTTGAGTGCAACACCTGCTCCACATGCACCAACTCCTTGATCATCAAGCACTTTCTTGCTGCTCCAACTGTCGGGGACATGTTACCCCGTTCTGCCGCTTCATGGCTTCCAGTCGAAACTTTCCAAGCAGGAGGGCTAACAAAAAGAAACATTGACCCATCCTGTGGCTTAGTCTATAGGGATGTCTAGGAGTCTAAAGGAATCTATAGGAATGCATCTGAATCGAATATCCTGGCTCCGCAAGAGTGACCTTTCCCAGGACCTTCCGAGAGATCGCCCGGCTTTTGGGACACCCCTCAGTCACCTCAGGGTCGCGGCTATGATACCTCAGACAGCGGTGTCGATGGTCACGGATAGACCGATAGATCGGATTGAAGGTCCCAGAGTTCCTGGACCACCCTGAAGGGTGTCTATTGACCCAGACACTCCATGGGACTGCCATATATGCCTACATTGACCCCTCAAACCACCACAATGTAGGCATATATGGCAGTCCCATGGAATGTCTGGGTGATAGCCCCAAACAGCTGTGATTCCGGGTGTCCATTAACCCCTTCAAGGGTCCCACTCTGCCGGATACGCCTCGATTGAGGCCGATCTCAAAACTACCAGCGTCGCACCGTCGCGGAAGGAGCGAAACCCGAATGGCGAGCGGACGGCCCCCGAAGCAACCAGCAAAGCGCTCCAACCCCTTCCACCACCTTCCACAAACCAACCCCAACGGCCGCCCAACGTGTCAATGGCGCCTGACCGGACCCCGGAATACGCGGCACGGAGAGGTTGAGAGACATGAACTACTTCGAAGCCTTAACTAGTACCAGCACCCGACTCTACAGGTGCTTCCTGGTGACAAGTCCGGTGCCTGAAACCTGTTATAGGGTCTCCAAACAGCCTGGCCAGGAGGGTCCTGGTATGTGGTATATATGGGATGGGCGAAACAGGGCTGTTCAACCTCCCTAGCCACCTGGAAAAAAGATCACCGCACGAGACCGATCCTGGCCACCCGTCGATCCTCGCGCCTCCACGGGGTCTTTCGAGGATACCTTTCGCTATCTGAAGCCGCTGATCTCGGTAGCGAAGCGTCCGGGGCAACACAGCTGCGACACGCGACGCGGGGGCCTCCGTTAACCCTATCCCAGACACTCCATGCGACTGGCATATATGCCAGTCGGGTGGTTGTAAATATGCCAGTCCCATGCAGTGTCTGGGTATAGGGATCCAGGTAAGTACCGAACCTCAGGTTTGGTACGACTGCACCCTCCAAAGCTACATACATAACTTATAACAGTGAACAGTGTCTCGAATGATCCTCTCAGAAGGTATGTGGATCCATTAAGTATAGGCTTGCGCACAAACTATTCTTGCTCATGTTGGCTAAAAACCGGGGGCCCATGGCATTCCATCTCATTCCATTACTCACATTTGCATGTCGCGAACCATCCTCAGACCTGGCCGTTTTCGGGCGTTTGAAGGAACATCCTCTGGATCGGGCCACTGCCGCACCGAACAACACAGGCGGTTGTTAGGGCAGAGGAGCCCATGCCCGCTCATGGAGCCAATCCGGTTGAAGTCGGGACCAGGAAAGGACTGGAACGAAAACGCAGGGTCTGTTCGGGTTTGGACCGATCCAGACCGGACAATTGCGAAGGTGGACCCTACCCGGTCCAAAGATTCTTATCCAGACACTCCATGTATGGCATAATGTTCATATATTTATATACACATAGACCGATACAATGAGCTATAATAAGACTGCAATAAGATGGGTCTATCCTAATACCGGGGCCCAGTGGATGATGTTTGTAAAAGGCCTTCTTCAGAAAGAGTGAAGAATCGTTTACTGCAACCGGGTGATGGGACAACCCCCAAGCACTACGTCTTCCCAGCTGCCGGATGCTCCGGGTTTGAACCGCCCGGATCGTGCGGATCCACCACGGCCGCCTGTGTCTCCGGGCCACGGCAGTGGTCGATTCTCGCACATGAGAGCCGATCGAAGGGAGCCCGAACGGCTACGGAAGGAATTGATGATGCCGAGGTACCACGGCGGGTATATACCAAGCATCAAACACGGCGAAAACGAATGAAGTCTCATCAGTGACTCATCAGGCAACCTTGGACCTTGTGTTCTAACATGTTCCAAGTGATCATGGAAAAGGTGCAAAAAAAGCTGGAGAGGTCCGGCCACGAGCTTCTGTTCCTGCACTTCTCCGAGTTTCTAAACCTGCATTGCAGGGCGCCTCATATTCAATCCTGCATCCTGGGTACGGCATGTCGCGGATCTGCCTTGTTCTGCGGAATGCGTACCATTCCTGCTCCCCTTAAACAACACAATCTCCACGTATAGACTTCTCAAGACATGGGGTTGCTGGTGGCAGCGCGGCCGGCAAATCCTTCGCCAAAATCTTCACTAGGTACTAGGTATGTACTAGGCTGATGTAGACTCTTGAAAATATTGTTCAACCCCCCAAAAAAAATGATGGTCAAAAACAACACTGTTGTTCCACCTCTGCCACAGAGATTAAAAAACACACACACACACAAACACTTGGAGTCCAGCAACGTCCATCCAATCTCTGACCAAAAAAAGAACTGCCAGGGTCCAGTTCCAAATTGGCAACATGCTTTCCACCAGCACAATGACAGGACGGGACTGAGGACGGGATCTCCACCACCCCACCAGCCTCTTGCATGGCTGGGGCAGAAATGGGTCCTGCTGAACGGCCGACTGCGCCGACTGGGCCATGGGTGAGATCTGCCCAAAAAAACCACAGCTGCCCAAACGCTCCAAGCAGGCCGACTATGGCCGACTGGTCCCTTAAATTCAAGAAGCAAAGGTTGAAGAATCCGAACTAGACTATCCTATAGGTACCCCAGATTACGGGTCCGAACGTTCAGGTCACTCTCCACCTCTGTTGCGTCGGTTGGTTTAAAGGTGGACCCCTGACCCGAGGATTCGGGTCCGCGTCTGGATGGATAGACTCCACGGTTGTCAAAACAAGATCGATCAACTCTTCAGTTGGTCCAAAAGGCAAACCCCAGACTCGGCTTTTGGACTGCGGCTTCGTCCATGCCTCGTTGTCGGTATGTGTCCGTTTCCCAAACACTCCATGGGACTGCCAGTCCGGACTGCCGAGGAACTCACGGCCAGGGGTGGTGGTATTGGGGGTCAGACTCTGGGGCGGCAGAACGGACTGGCAGTCCCATGTGTCGTGTCTGGGAACAGGACGTGGTGAACCAGCAATATTGTGATCCAGCAATTCGTGGGTCAACGGGATCCTTCTCTGAACGGCCAAGGGCAGCCAGGCGCTCCAAACAGCCCCTGGTCCCTCAAAAGCTAGGGTTTTGAACCCCCAAAACCCCTCCAAAGGATTCGGGTCCGACCCCTTCATAGGATTCGGGTCCAGGGTCTGGGCATTAAGCCATCTGCACAGGTCGCACGCATGGACGCACACAACGTCCCCCACATGGCCCACGTGACCCACATCAGGTTGCACAAATAGGAAAGCCAACTGATGTGCGAACCTGATGGCGATTTGGTCATGGGAACAGGTCATTAGTTGGCCTTCCAACGTTCCCCATCAGGTACGTAAACATGCAACTGTTGCACCAAAAAGGGGGGCAAACCTGCCAAACGTGTTCCATATGCATTCACTTATGCATTCATATGCCCCTGCTATACACGGAGCACTTGACTTTTGTATCTTATTACCTTGTTGCAGCACAAGGGTATGGATGCTGAGCCTCCTTGAAGACATTCATTTAGACCAACTGTAAGTGTGCTATGCTTTGCACTTGAGCGCCCAGCCTCGACCGGCCCCTGGCCGAGCCACCAAACATGGCCTTCCTCGCGCAGGTCGCGGCCCGGCTCCTGTGTCTTTGGCGCCGGCCTCCTGCTGCTTCGTCAGCCATGGCACCCGGGCACCCTCGCCGAGGCCTCAAAGTTTGGATCATGCCCCAAACGCTCCATGGGACTGCCATATATGCCGATCAGTTGGGGTGGTCTGGGGGGGGCAATCTATAGGCATATACATGGAGCGTCTGGGATGTGTTACATCACCGGTCGATGTAAACCCAGCGGATGGAGGGCAGACCAGAAAATCAAGACCACCCATTGGAAGGCTTGCAGTGGGCCAGCGGCCAGCAGAGTAGATGGCACGATCCCCCAAGTTAGGTGGTGTAGAAGGACCCTCACTTCAAAGACATCTTGGGGTCTTGGGGTGCCAGTGCCTCATGTTTCGAACCTCTGAAAGTCAAGGTCAGGGAGAACGGAACGGTCCGACACATCCAACGCATCCAAACAAGGTTCGTTCTTCACCTGGAGGGTGGCAGGTCACCGGTAAAAAGAACATCTCCAAATGAGAGTGCTCGAGTCAATGGTCAAGGTTCCCCATGTTCCCCATGTTCCCAACAGGGCCTTTTAAGGGCAGCATCATGTGGGTCACTGAATTGGGGGGGCCCGGTCCCCTCCGCCGACGAGCGGCAAGTGGTCCAACGTGGGTCGCCGAGTCCGGATGGTCCAATTCGCCAAAGATATGCCATCAGCAAATGCTTCATAGCCAATGTGGGTCACTGACGGACACTGGAACATGTTGTTCACTTTGAACGTGTGGCAATGCTCGAAAGCAATTTTTCGCAAACTTGTGCTTCATCTTTTGGAATCTCGACCACGAGCAAGAGTTTGGAGTCAATAAGTGGCGATCGCATCTTGGCATCACTACACTTGGCTCAGGCATCCCAGAATATATGTTTCTAATCTGACTCCGACTCCCTCAGTTCCCTTTAGTTAACCTTTTTCATCCTTTGTTCCATCTATTCACATTGAGGTAAACCAATTCCCCCCAAACAAAGGTTAAGGCTTTCCACCGACTGAGTAGGTAATAGTATAATTATCATAGTACTTCATCCTAATCCCAGGTTGCAGCTCCATACATTGCCCCTTTGTCGTTTCTTCCTTCCCAAGGACGGCACATCTCTGCCACCGGTCGTGATTTTCGCCACCGGAAACCCACCGGCCTCCTCCCTGCAGATCGGTCTGAACAAAGCCTTGCTGCGCGATGGGATGTCCTGAAAAGGGGCGCTTTTGGGGACGCTCGGAGATCGCAGGAACAAATTGAACAGCACCGGTGTCAAAGGAGTCCTTTAAGAAGTTGGGGGAGTTCTGAAATGCTCGCCACAAACCTGTCATGATTTGGCCGTTCATCAGTCCCTCTTCACCTTTTCACCCGAGAATTCCGGTGAAGAAGGCAGGCTGGTCTTGAGAAGGCAGAAGTCCAGAAAGGTTGAATGTACCGTGTTTGAAGTGTTTCAAGGACATGTTCTTCCATGAGCCGGAAGAACGGCTTCCAACGTTGTGCTGTCGGAACATGAGGAACAATAGCTAATAACAAGCCACAAGCCACTTGGCCATGGGCAACACACCAATCTCTATTGTATAAACATGGGGTGCTGTATTTCTCGTGCACGATGTGCAAGCATGTTGGTAGGCCATTCATGCCATTTCATTTTTGCCAACAAGCCAATGCTTGCTCTTACTTTACCAGAAGTAGAAGCTGTCCAAACGAAGCACTAGGAAAACAACCAAACACCGAATGGCGCCACTCGTTGCTCCCAAACTTATAGGTCTATAGCACTTGTAGGTCATAATTCCCTGAATCGGAACATGCCCAGCCGCATCTGAGGTTCAATCCTCCAGCAACACAACGTACACCATACTGTACTAATCAAACCCCACTCAAGGCCTAACGTAGCTTGATTTCTTTTTCAGGGAACTCCGAAGTGATGTGGTTTCGAAGACAACGGCGCAGTCATGCTAAGACCTACTGAAACTCGTGCAATGGTCCACCGACCACCGGCATCTACCCATCACCTAGCCTGAAATCCATGGGAGAAAATATGAGAAAATCAATGAATTTGACAAGGCACTCGCAGTGCATATGTATGACCTCTTGTGCTGCAAATCCCCATAATCAAAACAACCTGACTCCTGTCCTGGCCGCCGCGCTCGCATCAACTGAGAGCCTGCGACTTGTGGCTGAAGACGTTCTCACGCGCACGTGGGTCTTGTGGGAGTGGGACCAACTGGATTTGCTGCAAATGAGTTGAAGCAAGCACAATGGTACTGCAAATTCTGGTTGGAGACTTCTTCGAATGCTCTGGTGGTCGATCTTGCATCTGGCGTTTTTGGTACCATCCCAAATCCCTGTGGAAGCCAGTTGCATCATCTTGCATCCTGGATGGAGAGAAGTTGGAGCCCCGAACTCTAAACACATCTAAACACATCCAAACACCTTCAGCAGGTCTATGTGAAGAGCTGGCTTATTTCACACCCTCCAGGCCTTAGCAAACTTAGCCCATATCTCACTAGGTGCACCTTCCCAGGTCCTAGACACCTGCAAGACCCGCTGCAATCTCTGGCGCTCCTTGACCAAACCAGGGGCAACCAATGACATTGCTACAAACAGCGGCATCACCGCGAGTTCATACACGTTATATACCGGCACCCTCTGTTCGAGGAATCTATAAAAAATAGCCATTTACTCCCCTGCAGGTTGACATGCAACCCCAAAACCACTGGGTTGTAGAGGAAAATGGTCTTCCACAGGTCAATTCTCGGGTTCTATGTTAGTTTGGCGGGATGGATCTACAGCGGCGACTACTATTCGCTCACAAAACGAAGTGCACACAACAAAGTACTGGAGACTCTGTCAGTGATGAAACAAAACACAAACCAGAAGTGACCAAGGGGTGCTCATTCAGTCCAAGTGAGTGGATGTTTGCACCTAACCTCCTTCCTCCGTTCGGAACCGGCACCCTAAAACCTCTTCAGGCTTGGCGACTTGGGGAGTTCACTCATGGACTCATGTGCTGAACATCAAGTTACCGCATGCAGCTGATGCGCGTGTACGCCCCACAGCTCCTCTCTTTAGGCCCCTGATGTCTCCAAAACATCCCAAACGCCAACTGGCCACTTGCTGCTTTTGGGGTGTTGCCTTTCATCCTGGGAAGCGGATTCGATCAAACTGCGCATCTTCGAAAAAGGGCGCGAAGAAACGATGCCACCCAGACGCGACCCTGGATCCTCATATGGAGGTGTCTGGAGTCTCAAATCCCCAGGCTTTGAGGGACCGGTCGGGCTGTGAACGGAGCGTCAGGTTACACATAAACCATCAAACACGCTTGTCGGAGCGACGCTGAGCTCCCCGACCCATCATACTCATGCTGTTGGACAAGCCCACCAAGGCAGTTCCGGAGCGCCTGGGAACAGCAATGGATCGAAGCAGCTCTGGTGAACTGCTGGGAGCGATTTGGGTTGGGATGGCTCATGTTGGGGAAAACAGGATCACCTGGCCATGGGGTACCCCCTTCTGCTCTGCAGCTACACTCCGTGTCTGTGGTGTAAAGGGCCACTGTTCCTTCTGTGGAGATGGTACAGTCTTTCTTAAAAGACTTCCTTAAACATCGCGTTTGGACCAAAAAACAATTCACCTTCAAGCCCTTATAATTCTTCTGGAGAGTTCTGTATATTCGGATATTTTGTTTCTGACTCGTAAACTCTATTCCTCATTGGATCCTGATCATGTCCCCTTCTAGCAGGTGTGCACACTGACATCTGTTTTTCTCCACAGGCAGAAACTAATCTCCGCAAGCAGGCGCCAATCACCTGCGTGGGCAGTGGAAAAAATCGTCGCTTCTGAAATTTGATACCAGACGCAACACGAGCACAAGATATCATTCAAGGGCAAAGGTGGCAGCTGAGTATTATCTCAAACCATGCATGTTTTAACAGGTGATTATATTGTTGCTTCTGTATCATTTTTATTTTTTGCAAGGGGCCCCAATGTTAGACAAGTGATATCATGTAACGATTTTCAAATCAGCTGGCGCTCATTTTTCCTTCTCTTGGTGCTGCACACTAAGCGGGCCATTCTCGCTGTTTGCAGAGCATTTGCACTGGCCTTTTAGAAACCACAGCTGTTGCTCAAGTGAGTGCACTTTCTTCAGCAGCAGCTTGACTTGTGCATCTTTCAAGTGTGCTTTGAGAGAAGCAAGCTCTGCAGCCAACTCATCATGTCTGGCAATCTTTTCAACTTCTTCAGGTCGCAGGCGGTAACGAGCCAGGTTGCGTCGATTCTCTTCGTACCTATATAAGAAGCACAATCAAACAAGACAAGTTTGTTCTTGGCAAGGCAATGAGTTTTCTTCGCTTGCTTGCAGTGTGTTCTCTTTGTAAGTCTTTCACATTTAAGGCGAGACACGTTTTTTGCTTCTCAGGGGTGCGCTGGGTCTTAGGAGGCGAATCCTTCTTGGGAGGCGAATGGGACTTGCGAGAGGAGGGCATTTAGGCGAAACAAAATCGAAGCAGAGCTGGATGCTTGAACACTTAAAATCTGGGCGAATAAAGATGGCTCTTGTTATGAATCGAAACGCCATGGAATCACAGAGCGAGTTTTCAAGGTGAATCTTCAACTGGCTACACTTTGAGAGTCCCAAAAATGACCCTCCCAATCCAATCATGGAATTCCACGATTCCAAGCACCTAACAAGGTCGTAACAGCTACTTCTCTTTCAGCACTTCATGCTTCGGTTTGCCAAAGCTTTTCTCTGGCTTCTTTCCAATCTTTCGCCTCTGGCGATTCCAACCACTCAGCAAGCTTTGCCTCTAACGTGGATCGCGGCTGGCCTTTGCGAGCTTTGCGATCAACGAAAAGCGGGAGCTCTGACAACACGCCTCTCTGACTCAGGGCTCCTGAGCCAGTGACAGTTGCATATAGGCATTGCTTATTTTTCATAATGGTTTGTTGTATAATAACGCAACAATTAGAGCTGAGTGGCTATTCAAAGCAGTAATGTTGTTCGTAGACCACTCCAGTGGAGAGTGCTTCTGGCGAAAAAGTTTTCCTGACTGTGCGAAATGGAAAGCATGCAGTTGAGCATGTACAATTGTAAGTTTGTACATGTCAGCAAAAGTGCTCATATACAAGTTAAATCATTGCAGGATGAAAAAGATGCACGTGCGCAAATGCAGCCAAACCACGGTCTTCGGAGTCTTCGGGCAGCAAGAGCTGGTTCACGTCCAAATCAAAAGGCGTAGCATCAGCGCTGCGTCCTGTGGGTGCAGCATGCCGGTGGCAGCATCGATATCAACAAAATACTCAAGATAGTTGGCAAATGGGAGCTAGACATATGCATGTGGGAATTCTTAGACAAGCCTGTGCTGGACACCGCTCTGATCGATGCTTTTCTTTCAGAAATGAACTTGTGGGAGGAAGATGGCTGCAAGCCAAGATGGAGCCGTCGCCGCACTTGCCGACTCTGCAACACAGCTCGCATACCTGCAGCTGCACGGGAGCACTGCGGAAGAAAATGTCGGTAGAAGTGTAAATCTTCGAACATATAGTCAAGAAAGCTTGATCTTCTGTTGAGCTGCCCGTGTAAAGATTACACTTTGCCAAAATAATGAGAAAGCAAGTAAAAACGTTTTCTGCCGTAAAAGGCGTGAAATTAAAGCTAGTTGCGAAGATCTTCTCGCATAGCTCGCGAAACTTCTTCAATGATATAGCTGTATCTCTTGGAGCACCTATGCATTGCAGTCGGCCCTCTCGAATATGCAAGCGGCTCACAATTCTTGCTGGCGCCATAGCGGAGTCTTTATCAAATATATCGTGAAGATAAGATCCAACCCGTTCACAGAAGGACCTTCGGAGAAAACATTGCAAACTGTTGACCGGCTAGATTGATTTTTTGATACATATTTTTTTTATGCGGTATAGAAAAGTATCAGCCAAGGCACTCTGCGCAGACATGTGCGCGAGAAACATGGTGAACAAAAGCAGCGTGCCAGGCGTGATGACTTGCGCTCCGACATGCATGGACTTCTGGGCAGAGGTCGATGCTCGCAGCGATGGCTCCGATGTCAAGAGTTCTGCTTTGAGCATTGACCTGCACGATTTGATTGGCCAAATGCGTTGCAGGGAAGCTGCTGACTATGGATGCGAAGCATGTGCCTCTGTACCGGGCCTTTTGCAAGCCCCAGCCACGAGTAGCAGTGCTGGAGCCAACTGAGCACAAACACTCTGGTCTCACACGCCAAGACTGGGAAATGTTGGGCAAACAAAAGCTGGTGACCACATGGGCCACACAAAGCAAAGAATTCGTTGTCCAACCGCAAAAACGCAAATAAGGAACAAAAGCTGGCAGAAAGTTGCTCTTCGTGTTGAGCGGTTCCACAGAATAATGGGTGGTAGTGTTCCACTGCTTCTGGAAAGCAGCTTGTTTGCTTAGGTCGAGGACATTCCGCACCAAAATTATGTATTGGGCTTCATGTGCTCCGTTTGCACTCCAGTTGCGCTGAACATATGGAAAAACTGCTGGGTCTGGCCACTCCGTTTTTTGACAATATTTTTTCAAACCGACGGAGAAGAAACCGGAATACTTTGACATGCTCAGGCTTGGGCTGTGGCAATTGTAAAAGCTCTGTCCAATTAAAGGCCTTGAGCATGGCAGCCCTCAAATCTGATGTGTCTGTGGAAATACCAACGGGTCCGAAATAGGCTTCGTGTTCTTGAAGGAGGGCGGAGAGTAAACGCCCCATCTCGCGAAGCCCAACATCAATGCTGGAAAATATGTGCGGGTCTGCTAAGGCCACAAGGCATCCTGGTTTCTTGTACAAACCCCTCACTCCTTGCATGCCAAGTGGTGTTGGAGGGAGGACTTTTGTTTCATATCTTGGAGGCACGACATTCATGGGGGCAGCTCCTGCCACTTCAAATGCCAATTGAGAACGGGCAACCCAACGCGGCATACGAACTTGCTTCCGACGACCTTTTTTCCACATAATGCGTTTGGACACGGTCATAGGCTCATCCCGCACCAACAATGAACCACATTGGCAAATGGGCGCAATGCATCGCAGTCCGGCCCTTTGGTCAACTGGAACCTGCAATGTGCATTTTTGAAACTGGTGCCGCAAGAGCAGGCTACCGAGGTTGGCCAGAAAGCGCTTCCAAGGTCTACCGAAGGAAGATAGTAAGTACGCTCGCACAAAAAGTTCGATTTCCTGCAGATGAGCCCAGCGTAAGAAACAGGCATCTAGTAGCAGCCAACACAGCGCTCAAGCAACAAATGAAAGGATTGCAAAATGCCCTTTTAAGGTCCGCGAATTCTTAGAAAACGGGCCAAAAAGGGCATCAAGGGAAAAGGCTTCAAACCCGCGAGTTTGGACACACATGGAACAGCACGCCTGACCTATAGGTTTTGACTTTACAGGTTGGTTTGAGTTTACAATAAAGTTTGGACCTTCGTTCCTTGCGAACTTTGGCCGCGCAAGAAACTCCATCGACGGCGCGTGTGACCCGCCTTCACAGTCAAATAGCACTTCAAGAGCATACAAATGAGCACAAAACGGCGCAAAGAATAAACATCCCGGAGGCACTGCCGCAATGCACTTATGCTCTTGGACGCTGCATCTTCCACTGTCCACAAATCGGCAGAGTTGCTTTGAAATGATTGTCCACGGCTGCAAAGTGCATAATGCCCAACATCCTCAAACAAAATCAAAAACGTGACCGAATCAATGGCCTCAGGCCACATTTTTGACCCGAGTACAATGCAAGGGCCAAAACTTCTCACAACCTATGCACACCTAATACAATAATACCAGAATATCTCAAAAATGGGGCTAGGGACAGCCAAGCCACTGTGAGTCGTCTACCGATAGAGACCAACTTGTCGAGTGACTGGCTCCCAAATCCATCTCGAGCTAGGTCCATTCGTGAATGCATACTTGACGCATATGCACGAAAGTTGGCATATAGATTCCCAGGAGCGCCATGGTCAGAAACGGTTGGCCTCGTACCCGAAATTGATGGGACAGACAAGGCCTTGGCTTCAATGTGGGCGGCCGTAGAGCGAAGCACAATTCTGCCCTGGCCGATGCCGAATAGCTGGCTCATCGCTGCTGCTAAATCATAAAGTTCAACCCAAAGACCTACACTTCTAAATGCCCGCTTCCTAGTGATGTTCTCCCTATGGAAGGCGTCCCACTCAAGAAAAGCCTTGTCATCATCATCCTTGAAAGATTTCCAAACTAGCAGCCCGGCTTGCGTGCTTTTGTGCTTTGCTGCTGGGCCGCCAGCTTGCACGGCACCATCCCCTCCGACTGCCACTAACCGCCGTTGGCATACATCTTCATCCAATTTGCTTGGGTGGTCTGCCAACGCAGCTTTAATTTTCTCTGCTTGACTGGCTCCAGAATGAAACAAGCCAACGCTAGGCGCACCTATGAGGATTGCATGAGGCCTGCCAGTGTGAATGGAGATTTTGCTTAGCGCAACCACCAGCAATGTTTCGTGTCTGGCAAATGCTGTTGCACCAAGGCTTACGCCATCGGACATGATAGCAAAACGGCTTGGGACCCCTAATCCGGGCAAGCTGCATGGATAGCTTCGGCATCAAGCAACGTACATCTTAGCAAAGATGTTCCACCAACTGGATCGCCTCCGTGGAATGGTACTTGTCACCACAATCGATGGCCGCATGTGTTTCCAGTCTGTTCAGCCTTCGGAGAAGTTCCAAATCGCTGCCAGCTTCATAGGTGTGCGCTATGATCTCTGCAACAAGGAAGTTCATGATCTGCTGGGCATCTCGACGAAAGACATTGTTGTCTGGCACTCTTGCGGCTCGGGCTTCAGGCTCTTCGGCCACCCAATTTCTCCTCCGGACCTTTGCCACTACGGCCCTGATTGTGTTCGCAGCAAGGGTTGAACAAGGCATTTTCATCACAAAGCAAGCACTCAGCCCACCCAATTAGCAAGAGGTGAAACAATCTCACCACGTAAGAAACTCGACTGGCTGACTGGACAAGATAGACAAGGGATGGACAAGGGAGAGGAAGTAAGAAGGAAAGGGTAATTGGCAAAAAAAAACAGCGGCCCAGCCATGCTGACTTTCCTGCAAAGTCCCAGGCACTGGACGTATGGACCATCTTCCAGGGCTTTCCTCTTCTGAACCAACCGTGGGGATCGCAGAGCTTTCTCTTGAGGAAACAGTCTCGTCAAGACAGTAACTAAAGCCTCAGGCTTCATAACTGGTTCTTCACCAGATTCAAAGGACGAAGGACTCAAGTTAACTAGCGCACATGTGCACCCAAGGCGCTCCACACCAAGTTGACACAAAAAGCTCCACCTCCTCATCAACGCGGTTGCGCCCCAGCTTCTTGCACTTGTGGCAGATGTGGGCAGTCCCGCGACTTTGACGAGCAAGATTCAGCTCCTTGAGAGTCTGGTGCCTAGAAGGACGAAACCCAACGAAAGCTCGCTCAACTACAAGCATCCAGCTTGATGTGGGTCAAATATGTCAGCCACTGGCTTCGGAGACTGGGACAGGGAAATGGACTACATGAGATCGTGTTCGAAAAGAAGTGCGGACTTGCAAGCGACAGCAAGCATTGTTTCCTCTAAGCACCGTAGAAACGATTTCTGACTAAGACTCAAGAATGCTCGGCTCAGCTTAACATCGCCCCCACTCAGCCAAAATACTCAGCCTCCATGAGTTGAAGGCTGTTGCCACCGCAAGCTCTTCCGCAGCACACGCAGAAGCGCGACGTCATGGCGCAGCTCGAAGGAACACCGATTTGCTTGTGATTAAAACATCATTTTTCATGCAAATCAAGTGACAAAACCTTTCAGATTCATTTTAGCCAAGTGCTAAGTGTGTGTTTCCTTAAAACCCTGAGGTCCCATGAAGCAAGTCTTCTTGCAGCTTTTCTTGCGTGCTCACAGTGACATGGCTTTGTAAGAGAAGGCCTCATGGCCATGGGCTCAGGCTCATGGCCCGGCGTCTCTATGCTGAGCAAAGAACATCGGCAATGATTCAACAATCATGGCAGGTGATGCGCCTATTTTCACAGACCATTCAGGGTTTCAAGGAAACACACACTTGATTCATTTGCATGAAAAAAAAGTGATGTTTAATCACAAACACATCGGTCTTTTAAGGAGACCTGATGGTATCCACATGTTCCCGCAAAAACCTTCGCTGTAGATTGTAGTTATAACTAATTAGGGTCTTTCACTTCAGGTGCCTAAGGTCTTTCACTTCAGGTGTGTACAGTGTGTGCTGAAATTCACTTCAGGTGCGTAACCCAGTTCAAACATGGCGAGACCATCGATGCATTGAACTATATATATATCATATAGTGTTGTATATAATGTTGTATACTTACCCCATGTGTATCATGAATGACCCCGGCCCTATTAGGATGTAGGTATGATTTGATAGAGTCTTTGGGATGTTTTTCTTGTGACCAACAGGGGGTCAGAAGGTCGATGCGGGGTCAGAAGGTCGATGCGGGGTCAGAAGGTCGACGCGGGGTCTGAAGGTCGATTTCGCTGCCTGGTTCAACCACCCCTGCTCTACATCTTGCAAGCGTTCCACTCAGTTAATCTCAGTTCCACACGGCAACCACCCTCAACAACTGTCAGACTTCTTCTTCTTCTTTTTCTTCTTCTTCTTCTTCCTCTTCCTCTTCTTCTTCTTCTTCTCGCATGACATTCGGCCTTGTGTGAGTCAAACACAAGCCTCCACATCCAAGGGGTCCCTTCTTTTCAGTCGCACTCAACCAGCTACACTCCGACGAACACATCGAACTGAATGGCACCCCCTGTTCGAAGAAGGAGTCTTCCCAACTGAGAAGGTGGTTCCACCTGGGTAGGTGTTGGGGGGGTCTAACTGCCTTCTGAGCGCCAACACCTCCATCTTCAGAGTGCCGAAGGCCCAGCGCTGTTCCCCCAGCGCTCCCGCCGGTCAGCGAGTGCCGAGACCCTTTTTCGCGCCCGCGGTGGACCCGCGCAGCCTAGAAGCGGCTGGTAGGTCCACTGGCCAGCCTCAAGGTGAAGCCAGCGACGCCAGTGAGCTGTGTGCTACTGATCCACCGAGA